TCTATAAAATAAAATGATAGGACAAATGTAGCAAATTGTGCCAAATTTCAATGAAATTCATAAATTAGCTCTACAAATGATTTCAAAGCCGCAGACTCCTACTGAAACATGTTTTCATGACAACAAAACTTTGCGGAAAACCGCATAAATATGATATTGTGTACATTTGTTTGTTCCCTACAATAACATACTCCAATACTTAAATGAAAGATATCCAACAAACATTAGGCCTTCCTCAACCATAATGTATCCCGGATTGAGGCCCGAAAGGCTATTGGGTCAGGTAGGGGAGTTAATAAGCCGTTTGATACCTGTGAACCAAACCAACAAACTCTAACTCCACAACTAATGGAATCATATTGAGTGTCAAAGTGACGTTTGACAGTCCAAGATTTCACCACTGGGAAAACTGTTCTTATAAATTTACAGATACATTCAATAAATTTAATTTCCCAATTCACTAGAGTATCTCCTGCTTTAGAGGAAGGATTGTAATACCATAATTCTTGCTCACTAACAACAATTGCAATTATTACCCAGTGACTATCAGTCGGATTCCCAGGAAATAAAATTACATTTCTAGAATTCAGTTTGGTGCAGAGAGAGGGAAATGGTCTGCCTTGTAAGAGCCCAACAGCAACAGTAGTATCACATGCATACAAAACTGAATTTTCTAGAGAATGAAGATAAGCACTTACAATTGTGTCAGACAGCCAACCAGACACAAAAGACCTGGAATAGCTTCTCAAGGCAGAAGCCTCATCTTCTGTAACTTCAACATCCAAAGTTTTCAAGTCACCCACACTCAGAGCATACTTTCCAGTATGTAAGACTACATCATGAGCAAAACCATGGTAGTTAGAGTTGAGACCAAAGCCAGCAAGAAATGTTACTTTATTCACTTGGAGAGACGACTCTGGAACCTTATGGATTTCTACTTCTTCAGATGACAGAACGCCTGGGTCATCAATTTCTGTTTCATTTTCAAGAGTTGTATATTCAGTAATCAAAAAATTTTTAACTTCCAAAATACTTTGACGGTTGGGTCTTTCAATGGCAGTTTTTTTCTTGAGTTTTTTAACTTTCTTGAGAGGTGGTTTCAGCTGCCTTTCCAACTTGGCCTGGGATGAAATCTTCACCTTTACATCCATAGGAGAAGGCGCACTATCTCTAGGACTCTGGGTGACAGCCTGGCATTCAGTTACAAGTGTATGAAGAGCACTCCGAATGCGAGGTAGCATGAATCTTTTCACAGGACTTTTATCAAGCTCACTATCTAAATTGCCAAGCATGCCACGAATATTGGTTAATGACTTGGAAGAATTTTTCACAGGTGTGCCCGCAGAGGTGCCATTGCAAGGGAAGGTAGATTCAACAGAGGGTTCAGCTTCAGGGGCATAGAATTCTGGTTCATGGTTTTCAGTGTCTGTGGTCGCAGAAACACCTTTGAAGTGATGGTCCTGACTAGTAAAAACTTTGTGAATGTGTTTGCATAAGGGAAACATATCACCACATGTACAAGTGAACATGTGTGAACAGAGTGAATCACATGAAGAACATGTGAAGACACACAGGACTTCTGAACAGACATCTAGGCATTTAACAACAGTGTAGTGGGTGTCTTCATCTGTTCCCTGGGATTTGACTTGCCATAGATCTCTTGAAATATTAGTAACATCCAAATCGGAAATTTTTAAGCCACGGTCATGCCTCTTGAGAATAGCATCAAAATCTTGATCAGATAACGACTCTGTCATCATAGCATTCTTGTACCTGACATAGTAATCTTCTTCCACATCAAGGAGAAGGTCAAGGAGGTCATCGACCCGCTTGTTAGGCTTACGGTTTAAATAGCCTGTTTTCAAAATATTATGAAAACTTTCGACATGCATGGTGGTATCCACATTTCCATGATAATCTTGGCGGAAGCATTTTGCCCACTTCTTAGCTTTGGGAAGAAACGTCACTGTCATATAGTTTGAAAGACCAGGAGACACATTGAAATATGTCAACTTGAAAGCGGACTCAAGCTTCTTAAATTCCTCTTCAGTTCTTGCATCAATCATTGAGCACATAACCACATAAATTTCTTGTACAAGGTCTGTATCCTTAATGTGAATCCTAATATTTGCTTGAAGAGTCCTGTGAATATGCCAAATGCACAGAATATGCCAAATAGATAATCCCAAGCCTGAATTCAGAGAATTGATTAGAGCAGGATCATCATCAGTTATGCAGCAATTGATGGAAATGTCAGGCCATCTGTCTCTAAGAGCTTTGAAAACAAACTGCAAAGTAGGTTCATCAATTCGACTACTAATAACATGCATGACAGGGTATCCTAAATTGAACTGGTCTTTAACCACAAGGTTTAATAATTTGAAACCATACTGAGTCAACCCGTGAGTGTCATCCATCATGAGCATGGTCTTGCAGCCCTCCTTCATCATGTTGAGCTGCTCTTCTGATTGAATGGCAAGTACGAACAGATCATCAGGCAAATTTTCAGTACCCTCAGGACCATATCTTGTTTTCTCCATCCAAGGTTTGAACATCAAAACCGGGTTGTAGCGTTCCTTTACCAGCTTATCAACTTTGTGTGACAGAGATGTGGCATCATCATCTGAATAACGCAGTTTTGACTGGCACTTCCTTTTTCTTTCAGTGATAGTCCTGACCTTGACCAGATTGTCTCTCTTTAAGTGCCATGTGTTTTTGTACCTGTTTTCCCTCTTGTAAGAATCATCTCTCAAACTAAGTACTATTTTCCTTGGCGGTACACCCCATGCAAGTTGCTTGGCAATGAAATCATTTGTAGGGCCAGACAGTGGTTGATGTTTCAGATCCTTTGCATGGCAAGCATGAGAGTGAGATGGCCTGTAAACAACTCTAATTTTACCATCACTCAAGAAGTAAACTCTCATTCCAGCCAAACACAATGCACCCTTCTTGATGATGCCCTTTCGATTCTTCCTGTTTGTTAATCTCTTCAGTTCTCCTGTCTTCCTGTGTGATTTGACTCGCCCATCATGTTGACAGTATAAGTACAAGGCCTTTTCCCTTTTCCCATACTGCTGAGAAAAGTAAGAGTAACTGTCGTCCTCAATGGTTACTCTCCAGTCATTAAACTCCTTGAGAGAGTCAAAAAACAAAGTTTCAGGAGGCTTCAGGCCATCTTTCTGATGAGCATCAACGTAATGATCGTAAAGATCAACTTTGAAGCGAAACTTTCTTAAGCACTTCTTAAAACAACATTTGAATAAAGATGACTTGAGTTCTGATTTCTGGCAGTTCTGTAAGTGCGTCTTAAAAATGTACAATCGAGGAAAAGACCTTCCACATGATTGACAGACATTAGCCTGGACTTTGTTTGGGTTTTGGACGCAAATCTTTTTGTGTCTACTTAAGTTAGTACGGGACGAGAAAAAGGTGTTACAGAACTTGCATTCCAATTTCTTCTTAGTGCTTTCTATTTCCTCCAAATCTGCAAACTGTTAAAGTAAAGATAAATGTTGTCACTATATTGTAAGTAAAAAAATTATATACATTGCAGTAAACACACACCCTGCTTCTTGTTAACAGCAGTTATCTTTGAGGAAGGCATTACAGAAGGCTGAGTAAGTGGAGAAGGGATAGATTCATCTGAAAGACACATATTTAGATTAACACTGTGTTCATCTGATTCGGGAATGTACTAGTTTCAAAATAACATGTCCAAATCTCACTGCATGGCCATGAATCAAATTACCTTCAATGTCGCTGTCCGTATCATCAATATACTTTTTTTTGGACTTCTTGGATAAAGATGCAGCAAGACTAGATTTATCTGAAAAACAATTGACAATAATCACTGCTTCAAGTTAAGATTCAATGCTGTAATTCAAATTCTGTAAAAAAAAAAGAAATGTTCGTATTACCTTTGAGGCTACCACAATCATCTGAACTATGATCTAATTTTCTTTTCACTGCCCTTAATTGCAGGCATGGGACAGGTCTCTCCTTAGGTTTCCCTATCTCAGATGATGCAACAGACTTTACTTTCATTGTTGAAATGGTTTTAGAATTTTTCTGGCACATTACTTCAACATTGCAATGACCAGATGTATCTGAAAAATGAAAAAAATAGATTCTTAAAAAGATAGCACAGATGCAGATTAGATGGATCATCAGAATAAACTATGACAGACAAATGCCCCATGAAATGAGTAACATTGTAACCATTGTAAAACAATGTAAAATATAAATGTTGTCTTTACAATGTTTTTTT